ATTGCCACTTTGGTACAGGTTGAAAACCCAAATCTTTCTAGAACTAGGATGATGAAATGAACCTTATCATTGGATTCACCTCATGAAATCTAGTTACCCAGTCAATTTTCATCAAATTCAGAGACAGTTAAATTTTTCATGTTTTATGGGGTGACAGGGTGTCGCATGACCTAAAAAAAGAAATGGAATTTAATTTCAAAAATTGAAAAATAATTTAAATCTAGTTCAAATAAAAATATTTTAAACTTGAATTGAGATAAAATTTAATCGTTTCGGGACAAAATCGGACCCGGGAATGGAGGATGTGTGGCACGACGAGGGCCAAGCATTCCAAGGGGTATAAATAAGGGAAAAAATCAGATGTTCTCCCCATTTAGCTGGGTTTTTACATTGGAGAGGAAAGAGAAGGAAAAAGAGAGAGTTCTAATTTCTCTCTATGATCTACGGCGTTCCTTTAGTCGAATTGACTTGAACCAAGAATTAAAGTTCCTTTATGCGACGAGGCCTACGACTACATACCAAAAATTGCGGATTTCACTAAAGATTCAAAAAGGGGAGTTTGGGAGAAATCAAGGTTTGAGCTTGGTTTGTATTATTGAAGGTTTCTACAATTTATTAATTTCGCTTCAAGAGGTAGGGTTCTTTCCTAACTAGGTTTATTTTCAACCTAGGGTTTTCATATGGAATTGGTAGGGTTTTAGAGGTGTAATCTCTTGTGTGACACTTACCTACGATAGTTAAAATGTGGAAAGTGAGTATAGAAATGGGCAAAATCAATTCTAACTTGAATTGAGTATGTAGAAATTACTTGATTTGATTTCTTGAGAAATGTGATTTATGTGGGTGTTTGATAAAATGCCTTGAATGATTGAAGTATGTTGTTTTGATGAAATTGGAATAACATGCTTGGAAGACATTGCAAATTTTAATTATATGCTTAAGATAGAATGGGATAGAATGTTGTTCATTATGTTCACATGACATATGGAACATGATGTTGAAATTGAAATTGAGATCTTAGTTGCATAAGGATATGAAATGTAATTGTACATTTACATTGCACATGCACGGGAAACATCGCATTTGTGGGCATTGACATGAGTGTGGGCGTGTGTGCATGGTTGATCAAACATCATTCTTGGTGGATGATGTGTGGGCTCGGGATAGTTGGGCCGATGGTTTGACTGAGTCGCACGGTTAGCATTGAAAATAGGGTCGGGGTTAGCAAGAAGGGCTTGATTGTCCCTAGGGTGCAAGACACGATGATTGGATACACACTCCATTGGTGTAAAGTCCATAAAGTGTGTGAGCGTATGCGGAGCCGTTGGTGGAAGTCCATTAATGAAGTGTCGGTTGGGTGTCCATTGATTGAATTGCATATTCTTTAATGGAGCGATTGTTATTTGTGAATTACATGTGAACATTTCATATGCATCTAGATTGAGGAGTAGCCTCTTTAGGCTATACCCTATTGGGAGTGACTCACCCTTTATTGCAACAATATTTCAAGTATGGGACATGCATTGGTGTTCGGCTCTCATTCGGGCCTTCATGGTTGAAGAAAGGCCAAGATGTGGATTTTGAATCATGTTTTGTAAAAACTAAGATGTAATCTAGTTTTTGGGATATGTAATATGTTAAGGATTGTAAAGTGAACTCATATGATATGTGGTCCTAGCTCCTCATTCATTTGGCCTTTTTCCCATTTCTTCCCTAAATTATTATGAGACCGCTCTAACAAAGGTTAGCACACAAAGGATGGTTTGTATTGATTTTTAAGCATAAAACCAAATAAAAAACTTGTCATCTTGAGCGCTAAAGGGTGTTGCTCAAGATGGGTCTGCTAATGCCTTAAACTATGTTTTCAAAAACACAAAACGATTTTAGAAAATCTTTTCGTTGAAAAACACCTAGGAGCCATATACAGATTAATCCAATTCCATTTTAACTCCAATCCTCCTAAGTCTATTAAACCATATNAAGACATTGCAAATTTTAATTATATGCTTAAGATAGAATGGGATAGAATGTTGTTCATTATGTTCACATGACATATGGAACATGATGTTGAAATTGAAATTGAGATCTTAGTTGCATAAGGATATGAAATGTAATTGTACATTTACATTGCACATGCACGGGAAACATCGCATTTGTGGGCATTGACATGAGTGTGGGCGTGTGTGCATGGTTGATCAAACATCATTCTTGGTGGATGATGTGTGGGCTCGGGATAGTTGGGCCGATGGTTTGACTGAGTCGCACGGTTAGCATTGAAAATAGGGTCGGGGTTAGCAAGAAGGGCTTGATTGTCCCTAGGGTGCAAGACACGATGATTGGATACACACTCCATTGGTGTAAAGTCCATAAAGTGTGTGAGCGTATGCGGAGCCGTTGGTGGAAGTCCATTAATGAAGTGTCGGTTGGGTGTCCATTGATTGAATTGCATATTCTTTAATGGAGCGATTGTTATTTGTGAATTACATGTGAACATTTCATATGCATCTAGATTGAGGAGTAGCCTCTTTAGGCTATACCCTATTGGGAGTGACTCACCCTTTATTGCAACAATATTTCAAGTATGGGACATGCATTGGTGTTCGGCTCTCATTCGGGCCTTCATGGTTGAAGAAAGGCCAAGATGTGGATTTTGAATCATGTTTTGTAAAAACTAAGATGTAATCTAGTTTTTGGGATATGTAATATGTTAAGGATTGTAAAGTGAACTCATATGATATGTGGTCCTAGCTCCTCATTCATTTGGCCTTTTTCCCATTTCTTCCCTAAATTATTATGAGACCGCTCTAACAAAGGTTAGCACACAAAGGATGGTTTGTATTGATTTTTAAGCATAAAACCAAATAAAAAACTTGTCATCTTGAGCGCTAAAGGGTGTTGCTCAAGATGGGTCTGCTAATGCCTTAAACTATGTTTTCAAAAACACAAAACGATTTTAGAAAATCTTTTCGTTGAAAAACACCTAGGAGCCATATACAGATTAATCCAATTCCATTTTAACTCCAATCCTCCTAAGTCTATTAAACCATATGATCATCTTAGGTCTCTAGGTCATTACCTTTGTCCTAAACTTTAATGTGCATGTGGAGTGCAAATGATGTGGCTTTGATGCTTGATCTCCTCCCTTCAATGATGCTTTTGGATCTTTAATCATTATAGCATCATGACCATGAAATAGGTTGAGATTTACAATGGACTTCATGGAATTAGTCAAATTAAAACATAGGTTTAACAATATCCCTCTTTGGCAAATTTTGTGACCAAATACACAAGTAAAAAATTAAGATTATAACTCACAAACCATTGAACAAAATGAATTGTAAATTTAATCTCAACACTCATGTACATGTCCTAAATATCTATCTAAGTACAAGATCTATTCATTAGATGTAGCTTGAAGATCATAGTCTTGCACATCATCACTCAAAGCACAACCTTGTGATGAACATCATATGTTAGAGAATCAAATAACATATTCACATGTATGGTAAGCATCAAGTTAAGGATATGACACATTCATGTATATATCATTCAAGTGCAAATATATAACATATTAAGAACTAATTTTCCCCATATGCTTGAGAACCTATTGATATAGTAATTTCAAACACATCAAGTTCTCCCCCTTAGTTGATGTTTACAATTAAAATAACAAGTGAAAAATTAAAAAAACAAATTGCTGACTTCATGCTAAGTTTGTAAATGTATTCCCCCTGAGTATTAGAACAAACCCCCCTTCCTCTATTCACATGCAACCTAGCCAGGCCAGTCAAGAGTAAATGTAATGCCCACCCAATTTCATATAATTCATAGTGCTAATAACTTCAAGTAAACAAATTCAATTTCCATAAACAATACATCATTTTCTTTGAATGAAAAATTAAATCCATTTTCAATTGATCCAATGCTCATAACATTCTTTTAAATTTCACAATCACTAAGATCCTTCAAAATAAATATATATCTATCGATAATCAAATTAGTTGCAATCAAATAGATCAAAAATTGAAGATTCTTTAATTGACCTGATCTTCTATCAAATTTTACTCCAAATTCAACTTGTAATTAGAGGGTAATTGGGGGGGGGGGGGGGGGCTTGGGAGGCCAATAAGTAATTTAAAACGTAATATATGAAGTCAAAAGATCAAACGATTGGTTAATTTGGAAAGCTAGTTAATTTGGAGGGTTTATTCCTCTTATGGATTGGTAATGGGTGTTATACTCACTCATATTATATACAACTTTGTTGGACAATTTGTATGACGTTATTTGTATGGGAATGTAGTTGTATCACATATTTTGTCGTATAATTCTTCCCATTGCAGCCCAATATCTCGAATTATCTGACCACTTGGTAACCGGTCGTACGGTCGACTGATCAGTATGTGGCCTAGCGTGTCCATTGAATTTGTAGTGTCAATTGGAATGTTGACCAACTCTTGCCTTCTCCCATGTTTGTGGTGCTTGGTTGACATTGCTTTTGATATCTGCTATTGACAATATGATATGGAATTATAAGTTCCTTGCTCCTTTTATATAGAGTATTGAGTCTCCCACCTAACAAGCATGTAACAAGTCACCACCAAACAAACAAACGTCATTGTATAACTTGATGATCAATGCAACTCTCAAGTTATATAACTCAATCAACACATTCTATTTCAACTTAGGTTACCGTGGTTTCTTTAAAATATAAGTATGTGCCACAAAAAATATCTCAATCCACACTATACAAGATTTAAATACAACATCTTTGTCATTAATATCTCCGCATCACATCATTTGCCATTTTTTGACCGCCATCCTTTTGCCGTTGTCATGCCTTGATTCAAATCATGTTTCTTTATTCGTTGTCTATGTGGGTGATTAGCTTAATTACTAGATCCATGCACAATTCTGAATGTTACACAAATTTAGTTCACTATTCTTGAATAAGAAAATGTATCATACTTCAATTCTGANGTTGGACAATTTGTATGACGTTATTTGTATGGGAATGTAGTTGTATCACATATTTTGTCGTATAATTCTTCCCATTGCAGCCCAATAGCTCGAATTATCTGACCACTTGGTAACCGGTCGTACGGTCGACTGATCAGTATGTGGCCTAGCGTGTCCTTTGAATTTGTAGTGTCAATTGGAATGTTGACCAACTCTTGCCTTCTCCCATGTTTGTGGTGCTTGGTTGACATTGCTTTTGATATCTGCTATTGACAATATGATATGGAATTATAAGTTCCTTGCTCCTTTTATATAGAGTATTGAGTCTCCCACCTAACAAGCATGTAACAAGTCACCACCAAACAAACAAACGTCATTGTATAACTTGATGATCAATGCAACTCTCAAGTTATATAACTCAATCAACACATTCTATTTCAACTTAGGTTACCGTGGTTTCTTTAAAATATAAGTATGTGCCACAAAAAATATCTCAATCCACACTATACAAGATTTAAATACAACATCTTTGTCATTAATATCTCCGCATCACATCATTTGCCATTTTTTGACCGCCATCCTTTTGCCGTTGTCATGCCTTGATTCAAATCATGTTTCTTTATTCGTTGTCTATGTGGGTGATTAGCTTAATTACTAGATCCATGCACAATTCTGAATGTTACACAAATTTAGTTCACTATTCTTGAATAAGAAAATGTATCATACTTCAATTCTGAATGATGGACCCAAAACTGGAGCATTCATCATCTTTATGACAAACATTTCACAATCATAGCTATTTGGATGCCTTGAAGTCCAGTACACTTGAGTGATGGGCTAATTGATCAATGTTGGCGTATGATTACGTACGACATACTCAAGGACTTGGTCTAGTTCTTTAATTAGATTCTTAATAGCAATGTAGCGACTATCGTTGGGATGTCATGACAGAAAATTGAGTAATAGAACTTGGTGTTACACTGCATCAATTAAGCATAAATACCAATGTATGTTGTTGTCGTTCACTGGTATAAAGATCTACTTACATACATAAAATAGATTGAAGATGATCATACATGCAAACATAGATTATTATGGAAATGATCGATTATAAACACAACAAAAACTAGGGCAACTACATACATTTTCATAGTCTTTGAAATGTGACTACCTTTGAAAATCAAGCAACTTAATTATTTTTTGTTGGTCTTTTCCTAACCCCACCCTTGCAAGTGTTTTTTGCTGGCGATTGGAGAGAAATAAGAGTACACATTTTTTTTATTGTATAAGTTCAAGATTATAAATGTTAAATGGACCACATAATCGAAAGCCATGTTAGCTGGTACCACCTTGAAGCTTTTTGCAATGGTATTAATCTTGTCGGCCTCCGGAATAATATAGGGCGCCAGATTTATTATCTTTAACAGGTCAAATAGTAACAAATCAATACTTCGTCAATATGAAAAATACGATAAATAAATCCCTATTTAACTCACAACATCTATTTGGCCTTTAATAATTGTTCCTTTGGTGGGAAAACAAACCTCAAATTTGATCAATTTCTCACTGTAACATCCAGCAAGCTTGTTGTATATTCTTTAACCTTAAATCCACATCCTCTGTTTCTCACCCCAAAATCCTGTTGATTTATCTTCAACCCTATTTTCATTCACATCCTCATTCTTCTTATCCAAATCATCCCAATTTACATTCACATCATCTTCATCGTTATTTCTATTCACATCTTGATTCTCCTTATCCAACATTCCTGTTGTTGGATCTTCCTCCATCTCCTTTTCACACCTTTTTTTCATTATTTTATTGTGAAAAAAAAAATCTGAGCACTATCATATGTTATTATCTACTAACGTGGTAATCAAGTAAACTACATGTTAGGTAAGATGTGCTAACCTTATAAATATCTTCTACCCATATCTTCTTCATCCAAAAATTTTGCTTAAATAAGCAATATCAGAGAGTTATTATATATTGTTAATAAAAATATGGATGGAATAATGCTATCATACCTTCAAAACCTCATGGGTGATTCAAGTATCTACTTGGCATCCTCTTAGAATTTCTTCACAACACCTTTGGGCTGTATTTTTTTTTGAGTGCATGAGATGGATAATGAAGCCTCTTGAACATCTTGTTTGCATACAATTATGTTTGAAGTTTGTCTTGGTGTATCTTTCACTTTCTTTATCTCTAGTGTCTGCACCATTTGAAGTATAATCCACATTCAATTATCATCCCCAAATTCATTCAAGGCTTCTTTATTGACTCCTTCATTCTGTATGTCTTTATGTTCACATTTTGTTATGGGTTTAAGTTCTACTAAGGTATCCATGATTTTCTGCATCATGGAAATCATTGAGGCTACTTTACCATATAGATTATCCTGATCCACCATGATTTTGTCAATTCACTTTTCCATCATTGAAAATCGTTCTTCCCATGACTAAAAATAGGGTTATATCAAATGATCATGTTCAACACAACACATACTTTGGATTTTTCTTTAGTCAGGGCATGAACTACCTGCCCTACATTTGGTTCCTCAACAGGTGCCAGTGCATTGAGCGGCTCTACCCCTACAAACAAAACCTAAAAAAACCATTTTGATCATACATGTTTATATTCAAATTAAAATACATACACATCATGCTATTGCTGTAACAAATAATCGCAACATGTTACCTGTTTATGTTTTAGACTTTTCAACTTCTTAAAGGCCACCACACCCTATTTTATTTCCAAATCACCCTATGTTGCGATGTAGGGAATGGTTTGGCATTTGATTGGCACAAGGGAAACCCCTTGGCGTGTCACATGCTGAAGATAAAAAAGAACATTTAACAAACAATTACTCTCAATTAGAAAAATAATTACAATCACAAGTTCTGCATTTGTAAATATGTCAAGTAATCAATACGTTACCTTGAGAACCAATACACAACCACTAATGTTATTTTTCCCATTTGTTTTATATTTTTGCACCCCCTCGACTAGGGCATCAAATACCAACTTCGCCTAGTTCTTCCCTCCGAAAGAACCAACATCCACAACTAAATGGAGAAACAAGCTACTAATCGAGTTTTTCATTGTAGGACACAGTTGACATTCAAGTACAAGTATCACAAAGACACTCCGGAAGTCTTGCGAATCCTCTTTAATTTCATCTAATTTGTCATTCATATATTTCAATGAAATATTCTAGTGAACATGGAATTACAAAGTCCATTTATTCTTTCCTAGGGGCCACTTGTTTCCACATCTATCCCTCCATATCTCAGTCACAATGTGCATTCTATATCTATGGGAGAGAACTTGAAGGAATTTTTGTGAATATTCAACACACAGGATTTTGAGTCAAAGTTTTCAACCACCTAATCACGTAAATCTCTCCCCAATAACTACGCCTTCGAATCCAATCTCTTGAACTGTGTATTTTTTTTCTTTGTTTAGCCTTTCTATTGCTTTCACCATCATTCTTGGTGAACACCCAGTTCTCAAATGCAACATTAAACATTTGTCATTATACAACAAAAAAATAAAAACATGTTAGATAAGCAATTTAATATTATGATTTTAAAATTATCTTTTGTTTTGTTGTTGAGTTCTCTTTGATAAACTCTTTTTTTTTTTGATGACTTGACCATATCTAAATATATTTATTTCTCACTATTTGTCATATTCTTCCATTGATTTCCAAGCTCTTACATGACCTGATGATTGAGTGGTGAATGGTTATACACATAATTTATTAGCAATATATCACTTACACATTGGAGAATTCTAGAAAATCATTAATACCCTATGGTCCAATTTTTTATTTTCCTTTCCTTTGATTGTTTCCAAACAATTCTTGCTAAAGTGGAAAAATAAAAATCAATAAGATCAATGGCATACAAATGATGGACAATTTATTATGTATCAAACCATAGGTATTTCATTGGTTCATATGAGTAAATGTCCAACTAATCAAAGATATTGAGAATGAGGATATGTTCCGAAAAGTAAAATCACAAAGTAAATGAATGAGGATACGTTGAAAAGAAGAAGTTTGATGAATCTATTTCTCTCACTGGTAAAAAAGCCACGCGTTGGTTGGGCGTTATTGATTAACATATTCATTTACGGAGTCACTTGACCTCTTCTCCTTGAATATAAAATACACCATTAACCACAAAAATGGCTTCACCTATTTTTTTTTTTATGTAAATGGTAAAAAATAGAACTTACCTTAAAAATATTACTAAACAAGTCTTCCTATTCGAAGGCTCTAACAACCAGTAAAAAAAACACTCAGAAGAAAAATATTAAAAGAAACTAAAGATCTAAGCAGTACCCAATAAAATGAAAGGCATAAAGAAAAGATTAGAAGGTTATCACCACTTTAGAAGACGAACTCAAAGAAAAAAATTGAAGGCAATGGAACTTCAAAAACTAAACCAAGCAAGGTAAGGCTAAGCTAGTAAGGAAGAAGGGAAGGAAATTGAATAGTGGATTGAAATTGTTTTGGGTGAGAAGGATGGGAAATGTATTGGAGAGATATGGATGTTCTGTCAAAAGTTGAGTGGTCTAGTCAATACTGTGTGTTGATATATTATTGGCTAATTTTGGATCAAATCAAATAGGTTAGATAGGATCGACATGACCTCATCCCCAATAAATCAAATAGGTTTGAAGGATCGACCATGACAAAACATCTCAATAAATGGTAAATCATCTCAAAAAAGTGGTAAATGGAGAATAATAAGAATGCATAAAGGATTCAATGTACCTCAATGTACTTTGCTCATTCCTTTTTATAACCTTTCTTCCAGTTAAGATTTTCAGTAACATATGCTAAAAGGTGGCACACCTTGCTTCGGTCTTCAATTAGGAAACTAGCAAAAATCTCTCTTGACGTCGTCCAATTATCCAGCTCATTCCGTGCGGTAATCGTGCTTGTCAGTTATATCAATCCCTTGATTGTAGTTATTAGTTCAAGGTGATATCTTTTTAAATGATGAGCTCGATTCTACTAAGGCCGAACATGTAGAGCTCGGCTCTGCCAATGCCAAGCTCCACTTTGCCGAACAGGTGTCAGTTCAATAATTTTCTTTGCTTACTAACTCATTATTTCCTCACGTGTTCTTATATCGTTGTCACGTGGGCCTAGTTAATGCTCATCACTCGTGTCACACCTTCTGATGACCTTTCACTTGCCCTCAGAAATGTGTGTCAGCCATTTTTTGTCTGGCAATTATTTTGTGCT